GTTAATATAGATGTAGATACTAGTAGGTAAGTGGGAAAGTCAAAGACAACGCTATATTTATAGTTCACCATAAAGACTAATAAAATTCCAAGTCATGAAATCATATGAACTGTCCAAGTAGTTTTAATTTTGAGAAACTGCATCTTTTGAGTCTATCTCAGTTTTTTTTTGTGTCTGCGTTTTAGACACATTTCACAATATGTTCTCCTGACATTGTTTCTCTATGATTTTTTTTTGTCTCTTTTGAGATTGGGTACTTGCAAGCCTCATCATATACAGGCTTTAATTTTTTTTTGTCTTGGCTTACCATCAGGTAGATTTTCTTCTTGATGTTATGTCCTTCGGATTTGTGTTAACCCTTTTCAGTTTTGTATGGCCGTATCTATTCTCCTGTGGGTAATGTTTGCCTTCCACTTCCTTTTTTAGGTGTTCTGTCTATATTTAGGAATTTTCATGGGATACCTCCTCCTTCTTTCCTCTATGTTGGGGGGTTTGCCATCTTCCATTCTTTCCTTTTGGGAACTTTTTGGGTGGGACACTGCTGTTTGGTTCCCAACCACTGCTAATAGGGACTTATGGTCAGATATCTTTCTCCAGCAGGGCTCCTCCTGTACATTTAGTGCCACATGTGGTATCTGCCCTGCTATATTAATTTTTTTTGTTTCATTATGAGATATTGTCATCTTTATTCTTTTCCAATATCCAGCAATTATTAGTCCTTTACCTGTCCTATCTACTGGTTAGAACCATTCATCTTGTATGCTTCATGCTGTCTGGGGTTCTTGATCAATCAGTCCCACCTCAATCATTTATTGAGTCTTCTCCTATATCATATATAGTCTTTGATCACACTTGGCTTTGCTATGGCCACATTACACAGTCTTATTTTCTACTTTTGGAGATGCTATTTTAAGTTATTTCACCTCGTGATTTGGTTCCAGTTTTGTGGCATGCCCCTTGGACTTGTCTGGTACCATATGTCTTTTGTGGGATGATCTGCATTTTACCCGACTTCCCTATTTGGGAGGTGATTTCACCTGCACTATTCATTGGGTGTACAGTTTTGGTTAGCTACTTCCGATTGGGATTAGTCTTCACATACTCATAAGCTCCTTCCACAGTCAGCTCGGTCTGTTTGATTTTCCTGTTCCATACCTCACATTCTCCTCTCTTTGGGGTGAGTATTTTTACACACCCCTCTATCGGGACCATCCATTGATTTTCCTTTTAATTTCTTTCCTTCCCTCTTCTTCTATATGAGTTGATAGATTTTTTATATCCCCTACAATGTCAGATTTCCCATTTTCTTCCCCTCTTTTGGATTGTTTCTCTTCTCCGATGGTTGGGGATGTGGTTCAATTTGCAGGAGGTTTAAGGACTATGGTCTCCAGGTGAACAATCTTATTCCCTTCACACCTTGGTACTTCATTCAGTTCAATGTGCTTTTAATCATTATTTCATTTCAACTATTTGATGGTGGTGGCTTCTATTACTCGCCAAGGAGACATTCTTTCTTGTTCCTTTTGTGGTAGACAGTGGATCTCCCTTTTTGAACCCTCGCACTTCATGTGCATCTTCTGGAGGGTCATATTCCCGGTTTTTGTCCTTGTTGCTCATTGCTTTTCCAGTCCTGTCACATTTTCTTCTTAGGAGTGACCTGTCAATTCTCCAAATTTTTGATGGCTGTGGGCTACTCCTCCATATGAAGTTTTTCAATTTTTTATCAATTCCCAAGTAATTCCCTTCTGTGTTTTTTGGCCTCTAGTTCATCATCCTCTTGACTGGGCTGTCGATGTATTGGGACAGAATTACATCTAGTTTCTCACGTTCGTTTTTCTCCTTCCATCAGTGTTTTTTCCTAAATGTTTGTTTATCCATGTTACTCTGGTCAGGTTTTTCTAATTGATTTCCTGGACAGCAAAAATCTGTGTTTCTCTGCTGTTTTGGCTCGATTGTTTTCTTTGTTCTGGGTTATTTTTATACCTCCATTTCGTGGCTCATGTGGTATATTCCTTTTGACCTTTCAGTTTCTTACCATCTTCCACATTTCTTCTCAATTGTTTCCAAATGACCTTGTTGGTCCAGTACATGCTTTGGGTTGCTTCATTGTTTTCAAGGTTTTCCGTTGGATCCATTTCCCACAATTTCCTTCCCTTGCTTTGTCTGTGATTTTTTTGGGGTTTGGATTGTGATTCGATTGACCTTTTGTTCCTTGTATCCTTCTTCCCATCATCGATTTCTCATGTTTTCACTCAGATCATGCACTTTTCATATTCCTTGCATATCCAAACTGTTGTCCGTTGGAGGTACTTTATCTGTTGAGCACTGGGACTACTATTCATACATTCATCTCCCATTCTTTACTTTAAGAAGCTGTTTCTTCCTTGTCGGGCTACCGTCATCCACCTGTTGCCATCCTTCACTCTTTTATGAGACTTTGATTAGGTAAGTTACCTTTTAGTATATATATATATATATATATATATCTTATTTCAGGGGCATCTCCCTCTTTTTCTTTATGGATCCCACTCTGTGGTGAGTGATGCCTATCCAGGTATACTCACGCTAGTAAAAGCTGCACTGTAAGGCCATGATGACTTAACCAATATAATTCCATGGCCACACAATGCAAACTGTAGAGATGGGGTGTTCCACAAGATCGCTTGTAGTTTTATAGAGTCACATGCATCACGTGAGTGTACTATGCTCCTATTGGTGAACAGGTGACACATGATGATTTGCATGAGAGACATGTTGGAATCATTTGATTCCGATAGGGGGGTGTGGAAGGCTTGTGGCATGTTTGCATATAGAGGGCACCAATAAATGAGAATAGCTAATCTTGTGAGTGGAGTGAAGCACCTATTGGAAATACATTTTCAGTATAGGAAAATTATAACTCCTGTTTGTACTACCACTAGCATTGGCACACTGCTTGAATGGCTTAAGAGACACTGACCAACATGAGCACCAAGATCCTTTTCTTCCATCACACTGGTAAGGTTATTGCCTTAATATCATCAGAAAAATTAAGTAATTTATTGACCATTACTTTATGCACATCATTGATGTAAATCAAAAAGAGCAAAGGACTTAACACTGAGTCCCATGTGATATTAATGCAGTTTGATTAAATTTTATTTATAACAACCCTCCGTTTTCTTCCATCCAGCTATCAGATTTGTCCCCCACACCTGTAGAGATAATTTTTTTTAACAAGTTTGGCACCTTGTCAAATGATTTGTGAAAATCAATTTACTCCAAATTCACACCCTTATCTTCATTTACATTAGTAACCACTTCAAAGAATATCAGAAGGTTTTCCCTGATAAAACCATGTTCACTATCCAACAAAATTTTAAATTTTGTTAAATAACTTTGCAACGTATCTTTTATCAGACTTTCAAAAACTTTTCTCACCACTGATGTAAGACTAATAGACCTATAATTACTGGGACAATTTTTATCACCCCCTTGAAAAGAAGAGTAATATTAGCCAGCTTCCAATCCTTTGGCACTTGCCTAATATTCAAGGACAAAAAGTAGTAAGTGGCTTGTGTACAATCCTTAAACTCCTCCAAAAAACTTGGGAAAATATTATTTGGCCCAGTAACAAGTCCAGAGTTAATGCAATCATCTTGTTCTATCCTTTTTTTCGATCTAGCAAGTGTTCTGGGTAAAGAATATTGTTTAAAATCTCCATTAGTTGAAATTGGAGAAATTAAAGAGGCCAACACTTGCAGATGAATGCGACATGTCTCTGCAATCCAATCCCAACATGGCCAATTTTGATACCAGAAAAATTGTGAAAAACACAGAATAATGGGCAAGTCCAATATTTTTGCATGTCAATGTGTGTTGACTGTAAAAAATTATCTTTATGCCAAATTCCATGTAAGTTGGTCAAAACACTTGCAAGGATAAGAAATTGATCACAATCTCTAAAATTATGGGTTTATTTAACCTTTTGACCACCCGTAAAATGAATAAAAATGGGCATATCCTACATTTTTGTATGTATATGTATGGGACCTGTAAAAAAGTACCTACAAAATTCCATGTAAATTGGCTGAAATACAGTTGAGTAATTGTCAAAAACCACTAAAGTTATGTTTTTTTTACATCTTAACCCCCTGTAATTATTTAGTATGGCTAAGTCCACCATTTTTGTTTGTTAGTGTGTGGGACTTGTAGAAAAGTATCTTTGTATCAAATCCCATATATGTTGGTCAAAATATGGCCATATAATCAATTAAAAACCATAAAATTATGCATTTTTGTGAGCTCTGATCCCCCCCCCCCCTAAAAAAAAAAGACTCAAAATGGGCAGATACAACTTTTTCACATGTCAGTGTGTTGGGCACATGAAAATATATATTTGTGCCAGTTTTCATTTTGATTGCTGTAAATATGACTGCACAGGAACCCAAAATATACATTTTTTTGGTTGTTTGGCCTTTGACCCCATAAAATCCTTAAAAAGGCCTAAATGAAAAAGGCATTTAGATGTATTGGATCAATGTATAATCTTACTGTCGAGAAATGAAGGATTGGAGGTCAATTGAAAAGCGTTTGGAAGAAGAAGAAACAATAAAAAAACAACATGTCTTTCTAAGGAGACATAGAAAAATAGAATTTATTAACCGAACCATTTCATAATCACCAGATATAAGCCATCTTTTGTCATCTTTCAAAGGCTCTAATTCTATAGTAACCTCTTGCTTATCCTTAATGTATTTAAAGAAATCCTTAATGCTAATTTTTACATTTTCAGTCAACCTTTTGTCATATGCCCTTTTCAATTCCCTGATATCCTGTTTGACCATTTTCTTTAATCTTCTATAATCCTCATAAGTCTCTTGCCTATATAAAAAAAAAAATTCTGCATTTGATCTGTATCTTCAGTTACTTCAGTTGCCAAATTCACAACAGTTAATTCTCATTGAATCCCTTCAAAATTTGGTTTTATGAATTTTGTAACCAAATTCTCATTATTGCTTATCTCCATATGCAGTAAAACTTGAAACCTAATTGAGCAAGGATCATTTGTACCCAGATGTTCCCCATTCTCCACCTTCTCAACCATTTCTATAGTAGATGTTAACAATAACCGAAAATCCACACTGTTCCTAGTAGATTTCTGACCTAAAAATATGTCTCCCTGATGGTTTGACTCTAATATTTCCCAATCTATGTGCCTGAAATTAAAATCACCCATAATTATGACCTCATTAATAGCTGAAATCTTAATATCACTGTAGTTTTCTCATTGATTTCATCATTTTCATTTAGAGGTCTGTAAAAAATTCCAACTAAAAGCCTTCTGTATTCTCTAACAGAAACCCAAATAGATTCAATATTCTTGATATTATCTTTGATATTCTAAACTTCAACAGGATAGAACTCACTTTTTGCATATAAAGCCACTCCTCTTCATCTTTTTAGTGTTTTATTCCTATTAAATAACTTAAAACTCTGATTTCAGATGAACTTCTGTCATCAAAACTGTCTGCACTTAATCACATTTAAGTCATTCCTATTATATCATTATATCTGACTGATGCTTTAAAGTCACCTGTCTTATTTCATATACTAACAATTTAGCCTAACATAAACTACTTCTGTACTTTGCTCCTACACTACAATTTTCTTATTTTTTTCTGCATTTAGTTTATAGTGGCTTTCACCTCTGTCTAGTCCTAATTAAAAGTTGCCCATCCAGTTGAGTTAATAGCTGTTGCAAAGAAGCCAGCCCCTACCCTATTTTAATGTAAACCATTTATTCCCAAAGGTTCTCTTTTAACATTGAATTGAACTCATAAGTCCATCCAGTCAGTCTACTTTTATTAACTTAAGTCTAGCATTCAGCTTTTGTGATCTAGAGCTGAATCTATGTCCATCTATAATTTCATACCCACAATTAAGTCTTGCCAGTATTCCTGACACAATTAATTTATAGCTTTTTTCTTTAAATGCCAAGTGTAGTGTGCATGTAGTTCAAATATCTAATGAAATCACACACCTGTTATTCAGTAGAGTAAAACCAGTTTGTCTCATGATGGTCTAACCTCTCCTCACATTCTGCATTAATTGGTAAGTTTTGTGCCTAGAATAAGCTTACATGTAGATAGTTTATCTGTCGATTAAAGTTGATGTATAAAATATAGTGATCATTGAGCTTCACTGAAATATTGGATTGGTTGTCGAACATGTTCTTTCCATGTTCAACTTTTGAAAGACAAGATAAGGAAACATTGTAATAGGCCTGTGCTAGGACCACACTTTTGATGGAAAATTATGCATTTTGTGTATCTGTTATGTACTTCTCAAACTTATCTAAATTTTCTATGGAAGAGTTCATGAAACAAACATTATGGTCAACTATGAAAACAGTCAATAATTTTGAGGTGTGGCTGGAAGGTAGTGAGTCTGCTAAATTCAAATTTTTGTTTATCATGTTATTAATGACACAGAAGATATGTTCAGTTTCATTGGATTGTATTTTTTGAGTTGGAGGGTTTCCTTTCCTGGATGAAACACTCTGGAATGACCTGTCATATGGTTTCAGAGCCCATTGCTGTTTAAATGCTGTACTGGATGAGTTTTTCTATTTCATTGGAGAACATTGAAGGTTCCATTCTTCAAAATATTGCATTCCTTTGTTCTGCATAATTTAACTGTTTTGCTATATGAATATTTTTGCTTGTTAAAGTATTTCCATCCATAGTGTTAATGCAGTAAAATAGTTGGGAGTTTATTATGAACCAGATATGTAAATAAATGTGAAACATATCACTTATGGTGCTTGTATCTACAGTGGCATGCCACTGCTATAGCATGTGCATATATTTTTTCCATAGTGTGATTCACCATATGTCCACATGTACAATGGATTGCTGAGCAAGTGATAAAAGTGATACTAATTCTTTATGAACTTCAGTTGTACACATTACTAATTCTGGGGATATTTATGCAAGGAAGCAGTTATTGGAAACAATATGTATGTACATATACACACACACACACATGTAAGGTATATATATATATATACACACACACACATGAAAGGTATATATATATATACACACACACACATATAAGGTATATATACATATACACACACACACACATGTAAGGTATATATATATATACACACACACACATGTAAGGTATATATATATATATACACACACACACATATATATATATGTATATACAATTTTTCAAATAAACTTTAAAATGATACCTTTTGTACTTTTGTACAAATGTTATAATTATACATTGTTATATTAGAACTTTGTTGACATGTTCACTTACTTGTGGACATGTACATCTACATGTACAATAAATAAATTGTAGGTTATATATATGTATACACACACATACATTTGTAAGGTTTTAGAGGAAAATAAAGGTATTCATTAAGTGCATTCGACCATTTGGGAAAGGGTAGGCCAGTAATGATTTTGCAGCATAAATCTCACATCAGTTTTTATATTGGGTGTTTTTTACTCATGTAAGTCTGTGATAAATGTTTACTTATAAAAGCCACTATTAATACTTGGCAGTCCTCTGCTTCCTTTTCTACATTCTAAGAAAAGAAAAGAATTGCACTGTGATCCAGTTTAAAGAAACTTGCATAAAGGTTGCTCGAAAGTAAGTGTAAAAGTACTAGAAAAACTATGTATTGTTATCATAAATCAACCCTTTGTAAGAAAGGCTGCTTCTTACAAAAATATTAAGTGCCTGAATAGTAAACTGGCTTGACAAACCTACATAGATTGCCACTCATTTACAGTTTTCCATTATAGAAGTACACCTATGTAACATATTTTGATAATGTATAAATACAACTAAATATCAAGTAAATATGTGATTAGTTAAACATTTTTAATTAGATATGTGAAATATTGTTCACAATTCATGATATTTGACATTTGTAGACATTTTATTATTTACAAACATAAACATATAGCGATGATAAATGTACGTCCTCAAAATATTTGGCTTTGTATCATGAATTATTATTTTAATGACACTATTTTAGATTATAACAAACCTTCTGTTGAAAGAATAGGTAGTAAGTTCTGCATTTGCTCTGCTGTTACTACTAAAACTATAATATATTCACATCTCTAAAACTATTTGAAAGTTAAATGGGAAAAATTAACTGTCATGACTTAAACATTTTTTTTCTTTTTGTACTTTAGCCTCAGACTCTGCAGTTAGATTTCCTTACAAAAGTTCTTCCAAATTATCACCATCTCAGGAAACCAACGAAAGTTGAAAGTAGGCAAAGTTAGAAGCTGAAAAGCTCTAGAGCTTTGAATATTGATCTGCAGAAATTATTTGAAGATGTAATCAACTACTCTGCTAAGTTTAAAAAATGTAAATTAAGTTAGGTGTGTGTGTGTGTGTATATATATATACACACACACATTTTAATGAACAAAACAGACCCTAACAAAAAGCGAAATTGAAGATGCTGCACAAATTAAAAGGATCCCCAGGGTACAGGCTATAATATGGGACATATAATGTGTTTTGGGTTTTGGAGGTGACTGCAGAAGCGAGATCCACATTGTAGTGGAAATACAATGTCTACCAGTCTTGACTTCCATTTCTCAGTCTCGTACATTGAAGAAAATAAAACAAAAAAATTCATTAAAAATATGTTTATTTGGGTCTGTTTTGTTCATTAAAATCACAGGTTTGGATTTGCTGTTTTTAACGCATTTCTTCCGTTTGATGTTAATTTTTGCTTGTTTAAGTACTAATTTTTCTATACATACATATGTATGTGTAAATATATTTATATTTATATTCACTCTGTCAGTCACTGATTTAATACCACTGCTTTTCTTGCATTTTGTATTATTAATCATACAGTTGAAGATGGATAATTAAAATATATTATGAAAACAGTAAGTTTTTTGGTCCATAATTTTAATTTAGTGTACTACAATCAATACAGAAACTTGAACCAATGAAACTTCAGATTAAGTAGAATTGAAACCCAGTCTTACCTGTTAGATGTTTGTTTGTTTGTTTTAACCTTCAATTTTCAAACACTGTTATCTTGAGATATCTCATTAAGAAATTGAGCTACAAAACTAACCATAATCATGTTTCAAGTGTCATTAATTGGTTTTTGTTAAATAATGTTATTTTACATAAAGATTTAATACATATATTCCATGAAGTTTAAGTAATGAGAGTACAGAGATTCATCTATCAAGTTTTGATTCTTATAATAAAGCAGAAAGTGGCCCATCACAAAATATTTAATAAAAAGCTGAAACATCAGTACTCTGTTAAATACTTTAGCTTTGCATAAAATAGAATTAGTTTGAAAACTAATTTTTGTAAATCTTTAGCTAGATGAAAGTAGTATTTAATGTACTTACAGTACTGCACAAAAGTGTTAGGACAAGAGAATATTTTGTCATTCTTTCCATTTTATGGGGCTAATTCTTCCATGCCATTATAGAATGTAAATTTCACCACACTAGGTAATGCTTCACTGATCCCTGTGGACAATTTAATGAGCCAGACTGAGAATACTTATCATTCTTTAGAATTCCCATATACCAAGGGCGTGTCATAAGGGTTCTGCTTGAATGAACATACTGATCAAATTTAAGGTCTGAAATAACTTTCATGGTACCCCATGCAGTGTCTTAACTATATAGAAAGAAGCTAGCATAGGGTACTGGTATATGTTAGAAGAAATCAATTTAATAGCACTCCACAAATAAACCTTGATAAAAACAGTGTTTAACACTATATATTAAGTTTTGTTGTCATGCCACAGCCCAAAAAGCATAGAGAATTCTCAGTAGAGCAGAGAGTTTGCATAAAAGCTTTATGTAATGCTGGTTGGACTCTCCAACAAATTGCTGCAGACTTGAAATGCTCTCCAAACACTGTCAAGTACACCCTAGATCGTGAGACCAACACAGGTAAATTTGAAAATAGGAAAGCAAGAGGCAGAACACCTAAACTCAATGAAACAGATGTTAAGTATCTTATTTTTTCAGCATGTGGGACAAAAGGAAGACTGCTACTGATCTCAAGCATGAGATAAACAACCATGAACCAAATGACAGAAAAGTGTCCAGATCTACAGTATCAAATAGACTCAAAAAGAATGGAATATTTGGTCATGTAGCAGTTAAAAAATCGCTTACTTCGATCTCTAAGAGACTGAAAATTGCAAAAAAAGTCCAAAAACTGGACTGTTGATGATTGATGTAGATGGAATAATGGACTGGTGCAAGTACCATCAGATACTGATCCATCATGTTATACCCAGTGCTTTGCATATTATTGGTAAGGGATTCTACTACTAAGAAGATAGTGACCCCAAACACTCATCCAACCTATGCAGAAATTACTTAGCTAAGAAAAAAGCTGCTGGAGTTATTTAAATGATGCAATGACCCCCACAGAGCTCCAATTGAGCAGACCTGGGATTTGAAAAACAAAAAACTTGACAAATCAAAAGTTACTTTCAAAGAAACTTTATGGGAATGTATTAGGGACATTTGGAGTAAAATCCCAAAGGACAGTTTGATTAAATATGTTGCAACAAAGCCTGAAAGTCTGTCTGCAGTTATTAAAGCAATAGGGGGACACCCAAAATATTAACTGCTTGTTGAACTGAAGCACTTCAACTGAGTTTGTTGTATTAAATATGAAGATTAATAAAATGTTGATGTTTCACCTGTAATTTACGTTCCATTCACCTCTGAAAGTAGCCTGAAATATAATTTTTGACTGTGTCTTAACACTTTTGCACAGTACTGTATTTATTTTTGATTCACATTATTTTTAATTACTTAATCCATCATTACAAAATCATAACATATATAAAGGTTCTTGAAACACATTCTTATTAATTTGTTGTAACTATTAAAATTTAGAATGTAAAGCTAGAAGGTGGAAAATACAATTTTGACAGATTATTTATATGATTTTCGTTAAAGTTTTAAATTTTGACATGCATTATATTAAAATTACATGGCTTGCAGTAACAACGAAAATTCCATCAAATTTTCTGTATGTGGTTTGGAAGATGAATGTCTAGATCTGGCACAATCATTCCTTCAGGTAAAGGCAAGATTGTCAAACCAGATGAAATGACATAAGAAAGGGAAGAAAATAATTCTACTACTTTCATTCTGTTTCTTCATTCTCTATTTTCTCAAGTGGATGCACACCTGAATGACAAGTTCATTTCTTCATCTCACAATCTTTATGCATATAAGGCATACAGAAAAACTTTACAGGGTTGTAGTGGTTATAGTGAATCGTTAGAAATAATAAAACATAAAAAAGATCATGTAGTATTAAATAGAGATGAAGGTATGGCGAATATTTCTGGAAGAATGTGAATTTATCTCTTTTGAATGGTTTAGTGTGAATGTATGAAAAATAACATACAGGTCAATGACCTACTAACAAATTATAAATACTTT